CATTTTATTACTGTATTAATGACCAAATAAATTCTTACAGTCAGTGTAACATTATTGCTGCAATTTATTTATCCTCTTTAGAAGTTTATCTGAATACAGGAAACAATCCCCAGAAGCGCCACTGCATTAATGCGCTTCAATGCGCATTGAAATGCACATTAAAGGTTACACCTTGGTGACGCATTAAATGCGCGTAATGCGCACTTAATGCGCATTAAATGCGCGTAATGCGCACTTAATGCGCATTAAATGCTGTAATGCGCATTTAATGTGTCACCAAGGTGTGACCTTTAATGTGCATTTCAATGCGCATTGAGCGCATTTAATGTGGCTGGCGCTACTGGGGATAGTACGATCAAAGTACATAAACCTGAGTCAAAGTCAAAAATCAAAATATCCTTTAAACATTTTTTTCAATTTAAGGACATTGTCTGATGTTCTAGACAACTTCATGCAGAGACCATACAGATAACATGAAAATAAGAATGATGGAATTACAAGTTTTCCTTCAAAGACTCACCCAATTTTTTATGGCGTCTCTTAGGTACCACTAAACTTGGAAGCCTCAATGCAGTATGCGCTTCAATACAAGTAGAAATGCACTTAAAGGTTGACACACTGGTGACGCATTAAATGCGCATCGCAGCATTGAATGCGCACTTAATGCGTCACCACCAATGGGTCACCTTTTATGTGTATCTTTACGCGCATTGCTGACAGAAAACCACCATTTCCTATTCGATAACTTACCTTACGATGGACTTGAGCTTGCTTAAAACTATAAAACGACTATCACGCAATTTTGAAATTCCCGCTGACACCTCGTAACCAACAGAGTAGACTGAATTTGTCATACTTCCCCTGCACATTCATTCATTGATTCATTCATATTAGTATTGAAGTTCGGAGCCAGGCGCCTCCTTTTCTGTGGTTTGCCCTGCCCTGTGCCCCTGTGCCCCCCGGTGTTTTTCACATACGTGCAGTGTGAGTGTGTTAGTGTCTGAGTCTTCGTCCGTGTGCAACATAAGAACTCGTGACAATGGTAATTTTAATCTATCGAAATAGCTGCCATCGGTGAAATTCAGTGACGAATTCTGTGAATTTCACTGAACTGATATTGCTATGCGTCCTTTACGTATAACCGTTCTGTGTGGTTAGTCCCAATATCCTTGGTTAAATATCAGATGTCCGGGTCCGGCGTCTCACAGAACTTCTATTTTCTCTGAGAATTATTTTAAATGTCACATACCATTATTTAAAGACATATTCATTTTTTCAGTACTCAGTGCTGTGGTTGCTGCGTTAAGAAATTCTCCTCAAATATCTCCCCAGTTATTGTCCTGTCTATTCTAACCTATACAAATCCTACACACATCCTTTTCTTAGAATTTCATTCAAAATATGTGAATTACATATCTCAATTTCTTCTTTCGAATTATGATAGTATAGTTTTCTCTCAGCTAAGACTATTATGTTGCGTTTCAGCAACCTCAAATAATTTTGTTGAAAGAGGGGACGGAGAACTCCCAAGGCACATCACAGTTGCTCTCCAATATAACAGCATGTCAAGCCGTAGTGGATGCTGTCAGAACCACCTTGGGTCCACGAGGAATGGACAAACTTGTAGTTGATCAAGGTGGCAAGGCCACAATTTCTAATGATGGTGCCACTATTATGAATCTTCTGGAAGTTGTCCACCCCGCTGCCAAAACACTTGTTGACATCGCTAAATCTCAAGATGCTGAGGTAAGATATGATGTCTATTTGTGCCTCTTCTCTCCTTTCTCTCCTGTCGGTGTGATCTTTAGAGTTCTCAAGTTCACCATCAATGGAGAGTATAATATATGTTTGAAAATAGACTGATGATGCTTGGCAGTCCAGAGTGTCATTTCATATTTCAAGGTACATCATGCGTTAGTTGTGGGTTAATTTTCCTGTCAGTATTATTTATGCTTGGTAAATCCTTAAAATTGCAGTTCTGTTGATAATTTTATCATTTTGTTTACAAAGACATTTCTTTTTTCTTTTTTTGTTTTCCCTGCGATTTGGCAACAGCCCGTGCCATAATTTGTACTCGAAATCAATCAGTGACTGTCAACGCATGCCATACCTTTTTTTTTTTCATAACTCAAATCCTTGTTTTTGAAAACTAATGGATCAAATATTATGTCAACCTAAGTTGAACCCAAGATGTATGCTTTTGCAATGTTGCGGGCCAAGAGGTTTTAATAATTCCTATCAAGGTTAGACTTTACGTACTTGAAAATACCTAAACTGTCATGTTAACATATTTTACAGGTTGGAGATGGTACCACCAGTGTGGTTTTATTGGCTGGTGAATTTCTGAAACAAGTGAAACCGTTTGTTGAGGAAGGTGTTCACCCTCGCATTATTATTCGTGCCTTCCGTAAAGCAACTCAGCTTGCTGTGGAGAAAATTAACAGCCTCTCAGTAAAAATTGAGAAGTCGAACACTGTTGAACACAGAGCTCTTCTTGAGAAGTGTGCTGCAACTTCACTGAGCTCTAAGTTGATCCATCAGCAGAAAGCTTTCTTTTCTAAAATGGTTGTTGATGCTGTCCTTATGCTTGATGATTTGTTGCCCCTCAATATGATTGGTGTCAAAAAAATTCAGGGTGGAGCTTTGGAGGTATGTAGCTATTCTTCATGTAACATTTTTTTTGTTATTTCTTTTTAACATTTATACTAGATTTAGTCAAAATCAATTATTTTACTCATCTCAACTGGTTATAATTGATGAGTGTCCTTCAAAAAAATTTTCTTTCTTCCAGGACTCCCAGCTGGTCAGTGGTGTGGCTTTCAAAAAGACATTCTCATATGCTGGATTTGAAATGCAGCCTAAAAAGTACACCAACCCTAAAATTGCTCTTCTGAATGTGGAATTGGAGCTCAAAGCAGAGCGTGACAATGCTGAAGTAAGAGTTGAGTCTGTATCTGAATACCAGAAGGTTGTTGATGCTGAGTGGCAAATTCTTTATGACAAATTAGATAAGATTGTCAAAAGTGGAGCACAAGTTGTTCTTTCAAAGCTACCAATTGGTGATGTTGCCACTCAGTATTTTGCTGATAGGTAAGTGTTAACTTAGTAGTCTGCTTTATTCCTTTCTTTGATTATTGGCTCAATGTCCATGCATTTGCTTTTAGGGATATGTTCTGTGCTGGGCGAGTTCCTGAAGAAGATTTGAAGAGGACAATGAAGGCTTGTGGTGGATCTGTGATGTCTACTGCTCATGATATCAATGAGTCAGTTCTTGGTCAGTGCGAAGTGTTTGAAGAAATCCAAATTGGAGGGGAGAGGTAAGTAACAAAAGCCATTTTATTTTTATTTATTGAGACAGACTACATGTGTTTGTTTGTGGAACAAAGTATTGTCAATTTTCAATGCAATAGATTTGATTTTTTTTTCTTTTTTGCTTGTGGTAGGTTTAACATCTTTAAAGGCTGCAAAAACGCTAAGACTTGTACAATGCTACTGCGGGGTGGAGCTGAACAGTTTTTAGAAGAAACCGAAAGATCACTTCATGACGCTATCATGATTGTCCGCAGGACCATTAAGAATGACTCAGTAGTTGCAGGTAACTGCACCCTAGTATTCTGTATTCTTTCACCTTTGTTCTTTTCTTTAAACATGTAATTTTGCATTGAAGGTGGAGGAGCCATTGAAATGGAATTGAGCCGTCATTTGCGAGATTACTCAAGAACCATTGCTGGCAAGGAGCAGCTACTCATTGGTGCCATTGCCAAGGCACTAGAAGTTATTCCCAGGCAGCTTTCTGACAATGCTGGCTTTGATGCCACCAATATTCTCAACAAACTGAGGCAAAAGCATGCTCAAGGTAATTCAATTACACATAATATTGTGACTATATATTTCTCTTTAATATGTTGCAAGGTTCTAACTGTTTTTATCTTGAACCTTTAGGTCAGTCTTGGTATGGGGTCGACATCATGAAGGAAGACATCTCTGACAACTTTGAAAGCTGTGTCTGGGAGCCAGCTATTATCAAAATTAATGCTCTCACAGCTGCAAGTGAAGCTGCATGCCTAATTTTATCTGTAGATGAAACCATTAAGAATCCTAAATCAGGTGGTCATGATGCCCCTCAAATGCCCCAAATGGGCAGAGGTATGGGGCGTCCTATGTAGTTGCACCCAGCTACATATAATTTATTTTTGCACATTACTCCTGCTAATTACTATGTGATCCAATGATAGATTAGGAGATACATCCCACTCTAAATTTTATTCCCAGTGAAGCTGTTTTTGTATGCATCCTAGCATTTTCATATTCCATCTCCATTGCTTTTACTGACAATTTGTTGTTTGTTATGTATTCACTATTAACAATTAATTATTTACACTTTATGTTCACCATAGTTGACTTGATTAATAACAAGAGCATTTCATAGTATTTTGTATGTTCAAGAAGTCCAGTAAATACTTCTGTTAAAAAATGAAATAAAAAATTCACGCTTTTTGCCATCTTAATTGTTATATTCTTACAGTAATATCAATTACTCTATTAAAATTCCATACTCGGGATGTTGAATCCCAACACATCTTTCTCAGGATAGAGTCCATCAAGAACACTGTGCAAACTTTATTTTGGATAGGAATCTTTGCTCGAGGTAGAAAGCAAAATGTCGTTCAGCATGGTTAGAGGCTTGGCAACGGCCGCAGTCTACGGGCGATTGATATTTTTGGGCCACAACGGATGTGTATTCGTTCTCCAAACCAAAAGTACCGAAATGCACAGGGAGGGACCCCTGAGCTTTGCTTTTGCGCGCTGAGGCCTCCATAGGGGCTTACGCGTCCAATGGGGCAGCCTACCCCTCTTGTTCCACGAGAGGGTACGAGTTAAGTTCAAGACCCGTGACTAGGAGCGGGTGATTTCAGAAATCGCTGGGACTGACAGCGGAAACATGATTTTCGCTTCATTGCGTGACATTAGACATTTGCCTCCGAATTCTCGGATGGATTTCTCATAGTTACGATGTTTACGTTGACGGAGAGAGAGATGGAGCTATGAGAAATTGGGCTTTCCTAACCAAACTTCTTCAATGGTTCAGTAGAGTTGTTGATGTCATTATTAAGATAGTCATCAGATTATAATCTTGTTCATCTTAAGTCGTGACTTCGTGAATTGATTGACGCTGTTACTATCATTCTTACAGTAAGTCCCGTTTATCTTTCTTTACATTTCCCGTGGGACAAAGGACTAGCAATATCAGTTTTCGCTGGTTTTTGACTGTTCCCCGGTGTAAACAGTACAGCGTGATATATTCAGATAATTAAGAAACATTTTATTAATAGACCACCCTAGCGAGTCCGGAAGAACAAACAATCAAAGTACCGGGAAAAGATTATATAATCACCTTGCAGATCACATTCTCTTCATTTTTTTGACATAGCCTCAAGTTAAAAACAGTTTTTTCTCTCCACACAGTTATTTATGATTTATAAATGAGCTGTTTTTGTAATCTGTTTCTGGTCCTTTTTGAATCACTGAGTTCTGTTCCCCGACTCGCTAGAATAGTCTATTATAATATGTATTGATTGTGTCAGACTACCTAAAAGTATATCCACGTCTATTCGTGCTCAAGTTCTCTGAAATTCCTTTTCTCTTCTGCTTTGAAGACATGGACAAACGAATCACACTGGAAATTCCACCACGAACCGCCACTCTTATTGAAGAGCTTGACAGTGAGTATTGTTTAAGTATTCATAATTTACTTGCCATCTTTTTTCAACAAGAGAGTTAAAATTACCAGAGGACTAAATGTGATTTTTTTTTTCTAGAAAAATTGATGGTGTTGTTGCGAGATGGAAGAACATTAATTGGCTATTTGAGAAGCGTTGATCAGTTTGCTAATCTTGTGCTTCACCGCACTATTGAAAGAATACATGTTGGCAAAGAGTATGGTGACATTCCTCGTGGGGTATTCATTGTGCGAGGTGAAAATGTAGTTCTCCTTGGAGAAATTGTAAGTAACATTTTATATAGATAAGTCAAATGATGCCATAATACTTTCCTTCCAAATCCTCTCACTCATTTCTATTTCTTAATTATTTTCAGGACCAGGAGAAGGAAGATAAACTGCCTCTTCAAGAAGTCTCTGTAGATGACATCCTAGATGCCCAACGCAAAGAGCAGGAAACTAAGCAAGATCAAGAAAAACTGCTTGCTAAGGCACTGAAAGAACGGGGATTACAGTACATCCCAGATATGAGCCATGACGACATGTTCTAGGTACAAAGCATCAAATTTGTGACATACAAGACTGGTAAAGTTTACAATGTTGTTTTTTTTTTGTCTGTTTTTTTTTTCTTTGTTTTTTGTTGTCTTCATTGGTTGGATTTGCATGAATCATGTTTTTTTTACTTACTTCAGACTAAAGAATTAAGTTTTGGTGTCAATTATTTTGAGTCAATAGGTTAGTTCGTCACCAATGTTTTTTCTGTAAATCACATATTTATTTCTTTAGATCTGATAAATCAATACAGATTTAAATAGAGTTTTTACACTTATGTACCAGATAGTGTTGAGGAAATTAATGGGACTTCAATTTTCTTATTTAAAACCCATCTTTGTCTCCTTTTTATAAATTAATGCTGCATTTAGTCTCTTAAAACAAGAGGCCTTGCCTCAGCTTAGGCAGCGATCCTTAGAGGTTTGCTGAGTTGGGCTAGCCAATCACAGCATAAGGCACTGCCAGAACTCATGCCTTATGTGTGGCGCCTCTACTCACAAGGCTAAATTCACCATTACACTTTATACTCAGGTTATACTCAGGTTTAGTTGAAAATAATTTCTTGTGTATTAGTTTCATCTCTTCTCTTGTTATTGTTTGAGGAGTGTTTCATAGACCTTTGCTTTCATCAAATAATCTGTAGGAAAGTACACAGTACAATAATTCCTTTTATTTCATATGTACAAAATGATACAATACATGTCAATCTACAGAATGCCATGCTGGAAATGTCTAAATTTTTATATCAATCATTGCAGATTTGTTAAACTGATGCATCTTCCAGAGTTATTGGTTTTTGATAGATGTACAGTATACATGTACATATATACGTATATTTATTGTTAAATTTACGGTTCCTATGGCAGAAACTGTCAAGATTCAAGATTCTAATCAAGTTTTGTGTACATAACTACTTTACTTTGCAATGCTGCAAAGTTTTGCAAGTGTAAGGTACAAATCAAATCAAATCAAAGGGAAGTCAATGCTATGACTTTGTCAGAATGTTAAGCATTGAAGTCTTTCTTCTTTTTTATATAAAAATAGTATCCGATTACCAGTATTAGTTTCTTCCCTCATTGCTTGCTCTTTAGTTTACCCTCAATAAATTGATTTTGTTGGAAAGAAACTTGCTCACAGCCCCATAACTTTCCTACAATGTTTCCTCATTCCAAGATTTTACCTCTTCAGAGTTATCAAAGTTAATTCAGAGTGGTTGCTGAGAAAGGCCAAATTGACTGGAAGACTGAGATAATTAAGGAGGTGATGGATTCAAGGACACTAGCAAGTCAAGTGCAGTGTTGAATCAAAATATTTGCAGTAAACTCATTTCTTAGCTTGGGCCTTTTCAACTCAGCCCCTAAGCCCACAATCCATACATCAAAATTTTTGAAAGTCTCTTGCAATATTTGATTTTATGATTGGACGAAAATTGTTTATAATGAAAACATTTATACATAACCACCAGTGAGGAAAATTTTTGCATTAGGGGGAAATTATTTGTGAGTGGAAGATTGGAAATGGAAGTCTAGTACAGTGGGTTTTTTTTTCCAGCTTAAAATCTCCAGTCACTTAAATTAATGTATGTACATTCAGTGGATTAACTTGGTGAATCTTTGTAATAATGAGCAAGGGTAACATCCAGATATTTCTCTGTAAATTTACCATGTGGCTTAATTGACATTACAGTGTGATGCCATATTCAAGGGAATTAAATCTTGGGCGTTGAAAATGATGCATCAGAGCCAAAGTGTAGAGAAATATTTATGAAAGAAAAGGTATGACATGAAAATCTCTACTTGTGCCTCATTTCATCCATCTCCAGGTGAACTTCTGATTGGGATCTCCGTGAACGCCTATCAATACAAAACCTGACTGAAGTAGTATCCCAAAGTTTTACCAAGATACTTTTCTTTGTCCAGAATTCATTACTTTCCCATGTATTACACATATTAACCTTTTAAATTTTGATTCTATATAATATTTTTCAACTAAACGAAATTTACATTCTTTTCTCTCTATACAATTGTTGTTATTGTTAATGTCTAGAAGTCCTAAACAGTAGCATTTTGGCCTATGGTTCTTTGTTTGATGATATACCAACCCACTCCGGAGGAAAAAAACAAAGCTTAGATATTCTTATCAGAACAGTAAAGGTGATTTGCGAAAGAAAGACTGTAGAGAGTAAGTGAATTAATGTTCTCTTGATTTTTAAAGCGGAGCATGGTACAATTCACAACAAGATTTGGGGAACATTTAGTTACAACCTAAAAAACACAAAGTAAGTTCAAGTGAAATGTTGCCGAACATATTGTTGTATGAGGTAAAATCAAATTATTGTTAATTCCATAAATTTTTGTCTTGATACAAGTCAGACTGCTGAGTAATGTCTCAGAACTGCCTGTCTTTAGTGACACTTCAATGACAATGACATATTCTCTCCTGCATTGGAACTGTTTCTCATGGGATATGTGGGGTTGCAATACCTTGATGTACTAAACTACTATAGCATTCAGAGTAGGTTGTCTGATAATGACTTACAATGAGGTAGAGCTAAATTCCTGACGACAGGTTGTGCAAAGGAGGGAAGTCCCTTCTTTCACCGATAAACTGCCAGGAAGTGTGGACTTCTTGATTGATACCATAGCACAGTCAGAGAGAATTCACGTGCTAACAGCTTAAACATAAAACTCTAAAATAATTATTTTAAGGAAAAATGAATTAAAGGTCAAAATGCATCAACGTGAAACAACTGCTGAGGTGTTTTCTTCACATTCACAGGTTTCATGAAGGAGAAAGTTATTGGTCCTAGAACCACTTTTCACAACCACCATAGCAAATGCAAACTCAGAATGAAAGTTGAATTATAAAATCAGATGTGTACATTAATTTCATTACTAGCCATAACCCAAGGAGGCAAATTATTACCTGAGATTTCTGGTTGATCTCTCTTGTTTCCCTCTGAATGTATGTGAACACAATTCTCTCAACACAGTAATAGTTTTACATCAAGAGACTTTCTAAACTCTTGGGTACCATCCATGCGTGTTAAGGAGTCTCCCCCACAAAAAACGTCTCATGAGACAACGCTTAAGGCCTAGTAGATCACCTTATGCTAAA